GTATCCAGCTCTCGCGCAATTCTTTTCCGAGGTTCAAGGACCAAATAGGAAAAAACTTAATACACGCTTTAAATAGCCGGGCCAAGTTAGTTTCGTAGCCACGGACAAAACATTTTGCCATTTAGTATCTTGCTGACATTAGTGAGCATTCTAACAAAAGGCGACTGAAAACATAATATTTTCTCGTTTACACCGAAATAATTCAAACGAAAACAAAACAAAGCAAGTAAACAAGCCAGGCCGGAATTACACATGCCAACGGAGCAAATACAAACAAATAAAACCAAAACCTCGTAAATTTCAACTTACTTTTTCTTGCGCGTCCAGCTCCACTTGCTGAATGCGCTTCTCTAAATGTCGAACCATTGTTTTCTGCGTTTCTACGTCTTGCTGTAAAGACTGAGGTAAAATGGAAAAAAATAAGGAATGTCTACGTCGGCATAAAAACCCCGAGTATGTATTGGGGTGAAGTTGAAGAATTCTACTTGTATCTACGCTTCGATACACCAAGAAAATAGACTTAAAGACACGGATTATTGGCACTGGAGCAATCAGAACGCGAAGCAAAAACATTGTAACAGGTGCCAAGGATGGTAAAACGAGAAATGGTTGTTGGGTTTAATCTAATAAGCCAGAAAATGGTGTTCAAATTTCTACCATCAACGTACCTTAGAAATTGAAGAATGGTGCTTTTTCGCCGATGCTTTCTCTTCTTCGTATTTTGCCGTTGTTTGGGCAAGCTTCTTTTCCAAGTTAGTTCTTGTGCTATGAACAGTAAACGCAACAGAGCGCAAATAAATTGTGCAACACCTGGTTTCAGTTGTTTTGAGACCATGCGAATGCCAACGTTAATTAATCTTCTTTAGCCGCGAGAATACCGCTTGAACAACGAATATGAACTGATTACTAACAGTCCTAACTGAATCAAGTGATAAATGAGGCAGACCTCTGGAGGGCATCATTGATTGCTTAAAGCAAAAGTCAATAAAACCTACCAGTTGTTTTCTTCTTTTAGTTTCTTTATTTCTTCTTCGAGCGTTTCTACCACCTACGATGCACAAACAAAAACACAACTTACTAACATTTATTCCTACGTCTCACCACCACTCATAAATTGGCTGCTTTTAAAGACTTAAGATTAGACCCAAAATTAATTTTCGGTACCGTTACTACTCACACTTTTAAGTATCAAACTTAAAAAATATTCAATAGCTTTTTTAAAGTTCGACAGACACTTCATTAATGGTCAGTCCCTTTGGTATGATGAGTGAGTTTGGTTTAAATTTCGTAAGATTTGATGCTCTAACCTGTTGTCCCTTGGAAGATCGTGTTGTATACTCTTCCTCCATCTGTTTTATCCTGTTGTTCGTCTAAAAAAGGGAATAACACAAGAATCTGCCGGTTTATTAAGAACTAGATCAAAAGGTGCGGAAGAAAAGGGTTCTGTATGATGCAGGATCCTCGCAGTAGAGAGCGCTATTTATGCAATAGCGAAAATCAAACCTGAAAAAAATCAGGCCTGTACGGGATTCGAACCACTGACCTCTGCGATACTAGTGCAGCGCTCCACTAATTGAGCTAACAAGCCAACTGGGAGCAGACCGTTAAGTTGATTCGTAAATAAACCCATGATGATAAATCAGAGACGATGAATATATGAAGTTCATATATTTTGAACTGCGGTTATAGATACGTATGATGCACGATCCTCGCAGTAGAGAGCGCTATTTATGCAATAGCGAAAATCACACCTGAAAAAAATCAGGCCTGTACGGGATTCGAACCACTGACCTCTGCGATACTAGTGCAGCGCTCCACTAATTGAGCTAACAAGCCAACTGGGAGCAGGCCGTCCAGTGGTTCGAATCCCGTACAGGCCTGATTTTTTTCAGGTCTGATTTTCGCGATTGCATAAATAGCGCTCTCTACTGCGAGGATCGTGCATCATACGTATCTATAACAGCAGTTCAAAATATATGAACTTCATATATTCATCGTACCAAAAGGGTTCTGACTCGACCAGAATTCAGCTGAATAGCATAACTATCAATAAAACAAGGACAAAGTATGCGAATTGTGGAATTCCCTGGGAGATTAAATAAACTCTACAGCATCACTGGAGTCTGTGATAAGGTCTTGGACTTGGGCGATGTCAGCTAGAACTTAGCATGAATTTTCTACCTGCACCTTCCTGCCCTAATGTAACATTAGAAACCTTACTCACTTTCTCCAGAATCTGTTCCATTTCGCTGCTATGTTCGCGCTGTAACTGAAGTCTCTGCTGCTCAAGTTGACTCTTAAATTTCATTTGCTGTCAAAGAAGAAAGACCACTTTTAAGGGATTTCGCCAAAACGAAAAAGAGCCTTTTTCCCTTTGGTTACAGGAGCGTCATGAATTCATTTGCATTAAAGCGAGGTTCCACTTATCTGTATATGCTCACAGACTGGGACCTAGCTTATATTTCTTGATAAACCTCCCTTTTAATTTCTCCTTATCTCTCTCTACGTGATTTCTATTTGGAAGTTTGACGCTCATGACCATTAACTCATTTGGAAGATCAAGCAGCATTGTGGAAGAAAATACCCCTTGCACTACTAACCGAGTTTTCATCTTGTCTCTTGTATGTTTGTTTCTCCTCTTCTCTCAACAGACTCAGTTCCATAAGCTGGGTTTTGTGCGTTGAATTCGCTTGAATAAGCTTATGAAAAGAAAAATAATTGAGTGGACAAAAATTTGCAGCGAGAAAAAGATCTCCGCAGAACGACTCGATACTTCAATGAGTGAGAAAAGTATTTGAGACAAATAGTTGCATCATGATCCTATATTAAATTCAATTGAGGCTCAGGTTGAGAAACTCATTCTTTTCCTCTATTCAGTGCTGCATAGGAACCAAGCAAGTCTTGAAGACAGATTATTTGAGCGAGAGGGATATAATTGTATGGATCAGGTGTGGTATCTGTTGAGGAAGTATCGTAACCCTATTGTAGTGAAAGAGCAAAGTCCTACGACTTGAGGGAAAAAAAAATTAAAAAGTTGAGCGCCTCGCGAAGAAAGTATTATCCAACGGTGCAACAACTAAACATACCACACCAAATGTCATCCACTTATCTTACAGCAAATTTCAGTTAAATGTCGAAAGTAAACCAGGATTGTGTGATTTTATTAAACCTTTTCCCTTTGATTGGTTCAGAAAACTTGTGCAACTGTCTCAATCAATCAGATGCAAAACTAAAAACAATTGCGACTCGGTTATTGGCGTTTTCCCGCGCTTCAATCAGTTTACTTGTTTTCACTTGGAGTTCTCATTGGCTCATGATAATGTAAACCTTTGATCTGATTGATTGCTGAGATTATTTTGGTTTTGATTTTTCGCTCCTACATTAAAAAGTGTTCTAGCATGTTAATACATATATCTTATTAGACGTTTTGTCGTGTAGTATCGCTGAGTATTTTTACGAGTTGTGCCGTATTTTGACGAGCCCGCAGAGCGAGTCAAAATACAAATGAATAAAAATACTCAACGATACTACACAACAAAACGTCTAATAAGTGATTTATTATCCAACTCGTCAAATTGTTATTTCAGTGCGGGCGAATTTCGCGGATATTTCTGGAGTAAAAATATCACGTGATAATTGTACTCGTCTCGCGCGTTATTTGTACTCTACAAAGCTCAGTTGGATAATAATACCTTATACTCGAAGCACTGCCCGGTTAATTTAAAAGGATAGGAAGTTAAAGTTTTCGTTATTTGTTTTTCATGTATACAGGTCAATTACAACTTACCGGTATTTCAAACTAGAAAATTCAAGCGGGTTGCGCTCCATTAACCCTATCTTACCTCTTCTCGCAACTCTCGCACTTGTTGCTCCAACTCGGCGATAGTCTGTAAGACAAAATATCAACGACACTGAGCCTTAAACTTCAGTAAGGGATACATAAATAATGAAAGATTTTTACGTGTTACCTTGGCGTCCTTGTTAGCTCGGTTTCTCGTTTGATTTTCATGTTCAAGTATTCTCTGACGAAGTTTCTCCAACTGCATTTCCTAAAAAATAAAAAACAAACACACAAAAGTAACAAATAATGATGACTTGTATGAAAGTGCGATTTTCACTAAAGTTTTGTAACTCGTGTATTATCAGAGATTATTTTCTATTTCGTCAGAAAAAAACCAAATGCTTCAGGTCAGCCTGGAATAAGCAGGGCCACCATCAAGACAACACCTACTGCTACTGCCTCTGATCCTGGCTTCAGCTATTGAAGAGCAATGAAAGTTCTAGCGATTTTCAGCCCTGAATGGAAAGTTGATAAGTCTGATTCCCTCATGAACCCTAAGATTTTGTCAGTTTGACGAGGCAAACTTAACAAGATGATTCAAAAACTGATCCACCAAGCCTGTGGCCTGTAAGATAACTGGATCATTTTACTAACCTTTTCCTGTTCTTGTTCTTTTAATGACGAGTCTCTCTCTATATGGTGCGCTCTCAAACTCTGTGCTTTCTCTTGCTCATGGCGAATATTTATCTCTGCAATCTGTAACAAAGCGAAACTGGTTTCATCAAGCCGTCATTTAACTTTGAGCTTAGATTGACCCTCAAATAACGGACGGAGAAAACTGACTGCATATCGGTAAAAAACTATTGTCGCCCATAGCAACGGAAAATTGTTTTCATAGGCGGTCTGCAGACAAAACTAAAAACAAGAACAAGTAACTTCAATAAATCGCGCAAAAAAGATTCCTTGAGGACTCAGCGAGACTGCTTTCGTTAGGGGTTTCATAGAATAGCGCTTTCTCAGTCCAACGTGACAGCAAACGATATTAAAATTATTACGATAAGGAAGTGACTCGTTTCGTCCTTTTTTCAGTCGCAAGGTCATTACCAGGTTTAAGTTCTGAAAATGCAAACAAACCCATCGGTCCTCTAACGATTCAACACGCAATCTAACCTCTTTTTCGTGTTTGATTTTAAGATCATCCAGTTGCCGGCTGAACTCCTTCGCTTGCTTTTCACGAAGGTTCTTTGAGCGAGCCAGGTCTTCCTCGACCTTTTCCATCTGTAAGAATGGAAAAAAATTTCGCACCATTCTAATGCAGTTACCAAGTTTGATTATTTACAAGTATTTAATTATCAAGTTTTTTTCATAGAACAATTTCACATGCGTGTTAAAAACTATCCTGGAAGTTGCACGTCGATAGGCCGTTAAAACTTAAAATTACCAAGTTCTTAATCGTTGTAAACAGAGTAAGAAGGATGGTAAGTTTTGAGCTCGGTAAAGAAACAGAGAAGATGTTTTTCCGTCTTACGACGAGCGTGGGACAAAGGAAAAAAAACTCTGAATCCCCTTGAGGAATTGAACCTCAGACCTTTGGATTCCGCGCTCCGATGCTCTACCGCTGAGCAACATAGACTATATGGTGAGCAGGGCTCATTACGAAGTTCATTGCACGACTAACGAGATTTATACCTGAGCTTTCATCTCGTCAAACATCCTCCCCGAATTTCTCTCCACTTGGCTCTTAAAATCCTCTAGCGCATGCTCAGCTTGTTGGGCCTGTTGTTTCTGTGCCTCTGACAGCTTTTGGATTTCATCTTCACGTTCTCTGTGAAAAATAATATAAACTGAGGCGTAAATTTACAATCAGCAAACTTTGTAACGAGTCCGAAGCAAAATAGCTGAACATTGGCGAAGATACATTCCAAGGCTGGAGCAAAATAAAGGAGCTCACTTGACAAGATTCTCCAACTTTCTCATGCGCTTCTCCGATTCTGCCTCGCCTTGTTCGAGCTCGGATTGAATACCTCGAATCTAAAGGGAAAAAAAAAAAACCAGACAGACAATTAGAGAAACAAATGACTAGATGACAAGACGTGTATCTGTTTATTCAGCTCAACAGAAGGCTTATTTTTCACCTACCTTTTTCTCGTGTAAATGTTCTAAGTTTAACTTCTCCTGCTTGTGAGTAGATTCCAATTCCTGTTGTTAACAGAGAATAAAAATTTAAATGGAGGAAATTAAACATATACGAATGACAAACAAAGCAAGGGAGCGCCGAAACACTGATCTACAAAGAACAACAACAACAACAACAACAACAACAACAAAACAAAACAAACAACTAAACGTCATCAATGGAAAGAGAAATAATGACAAGCAAAAAACGCAAAGAGCAAATGTTTGGTTAATTGTTACCCTAAGCTGCCTCTGTCGTTGAAACTCCGCATCTTGAAGAGCTTGTTTAAGTTGGTTAACCTGTGTCTCCAATTCTGCTATGGTGTCAGTAGCCTGATGATCAAAATACGTTAACTTTACCTCAAGTTAAGAAGAGACTCTAAGAGATAAAGAATTTCTTGCAACTATCAAACGAGCCCTATCGTTACAACACTTATCGTTATCATTCCCAGGATAGTACGCCCACAGTCGTTTTTATTTTTCCCTATTTTAAGGTTACCGCGAAATTTACGCGCAAGCTCGCGAGATCTGTGCCATTTTTTCCTGTTTTTATACATTTTTCTGGCGAATGCAAGGGTACAGACAGACGAGAGAGGAAAACTGCTCTTTCTCTCGTACGTGTCTCGACACTTGCGTCCTTCTCGCGCACCTGACCCCCGGCCGCTTGTCTCCTTGGCATGTTTACGTTAGTCACTATACCTTAGCAATTGCTGCGGTATGCTGTTGCTTCATGCTCTCCATACTGGAATCTGTCTTCTTGTTCAATTGTTTAACTACTGTTTTATGTTCATTTATTGCTTGCGAATGATCCCTCTCCATTTTGGACAGACTGAAAATATCAGACAGGGGTATTAAACGTGTTTCATTGAACAAGGACGCGGTCAAGATGACAGCAAATTGGGTGAGCTCTATTTGCGTTTAGTGGGCTCAGATCAAGTTGAAGAACATAAAAAAGGAAAAAATGCAAAAAAAAGAGGGAAAAACGTAACGAAATGAAAAAGAAGGGTACTCACATCAGGGTGGTCGCTAAAGGATCAAATAAACAGATATCTCACGCCTCATCCATTAAATCTCAAAAACAGGGCCCGTATTTTGATGGGTGACTTGAGGGGTGAAGGAAATCAAAGGATTATACTATAGAACAGGAAAATGTATTCACCAAACTTTTAGTGATTTTCTTTGTTTTCATTTTTTAAAAAGAGGGAAGGCTATAGCTTCTGGCGACTTTTGCCGGCTGTGAGCAATTTTTTTCTTTTAAATTTACTCTTTGGGGCTAACTTAGCTTCAGAATACGTTTCGCCTATAATATTACAGAACTATAATTTTTTCGTTACTGCAAGTAAATGTCTCAAGAACAATAGGCATTCTGCGCGAAGAGTGGCCATTCGGAAGACAGGATTCACTACATTTCGTCCTCTTGCCTGTTCAGTCCCATTATGCAAAGCTGGCCACACAGCCAGAGGAATTAAAAGTTGAAGACCACATGAGGTACGCTCATTTTCACAAGAAATCGCATTTCCAGGGATTTGTCATGAAGACGGTTTTCGTGTAGAGAGAGAATAATCTGAGTGACCACCTCCTTCTATAAATCCTAAATCAAAATCATTGAGTTGAAAATGGGTAACCATAGCACCTAAATCTCAAGAAGAAACAACAACAACGAGAACATTACCTTGATTTTGCTTCCTGTAATTCAGTCGACAAAGATGATGTTTGTTGTTCAAGTTCTTCCTACAAAGACAAGTTGAAGCAAACCACTTTTCAAAAAATCTTTAACAAATGACAAAAAATTGAGTCTTTACCTACACACACTGTACATGATATCGTATTGAATGCCTGTGAAGGTAAGAGTGATACTAAAATTGAGTTCTAAGGGGAAAGGGAACCCAAACCGAAACACCCCTATTTTTTTCTGGAATGTTATAGCAGTAGACATTCCTACATTTATAGTTGTACTGCTCTGTGGAATAAAGAAATCTCATTAACATACACTTTTGTAATCCCTAGGACCCTGTCGTTCAAAGGCCGATTAGTGCTAACACAAGGTTAAATTTCAATCCAGATTTCTTCAATTCTGACTTTTTTTAACAAGCCTGTTTGGGATAATATTCTGCATTCACTTTAGAGCATCCAATAACAACATTGTAGACACAATGTAGACAAAAAAATTTATGCTGGATTTTCTTTTAAAGCTTTCAGAACTGGTATCAAATTTCACACTAATCTTAGGTTATCTCAAGCCAGCTTTGAACAACCTGGCTCTGATGATTGCCAATGCCACTCCTTTATCATTCCTTCCAAATGTAAGGTAAGGGTTAGGTTTGTGCTTGAGCTAAGTGGCCCACTCAGCTAGGGTTCATCCAGGTTTCCATACCATGAAGTGACTAAGAGTTTTACTCTCCCCCCCCCCCCCTTAAATGGGATGCTAGTTCATCAAGTTTCCCCGGCAATCTTGGATGGAGATAAGCACTGTGTGAGTACAGCATTTTGCCCAAAAACACAACATAAAGGCCTGGTCAGGTTTCAAAGCTGAACCTCTAGCATTGGGATTTCTTTCAAAAGCAGTTGCAAAATTTAAAAAAAAAAAAAAAAGTAAAGAGATTATGGTATTATTCATTATGTACACACCTTTTCCTTAGCAAGTTTTGATCTAGAATTCTGAAGTTCTTCTGACTCCTGGGTAAGTTGTTGCACTCTTGCCTCCAATTCCTGAATGACCAGTCTCTGAGCAGAAGAAAATCACAACTGAATACTGAGAAAATAAAATGCTGTCCAGTTAAATTATCTTTTCACACCCTAACATCATTATACATATTCTCCCTACTGATCTTCATGCATTTCTTAAAGTGCTGACAAGGAGAATTTGTTTAACAACAAGAGCGTCTTGAGTTGGTGATCATTTCCTTCATTCTTGTGACCTTCATGTGTGATTCAGGGGTGATATTGTAAGGAGAAATTAGATGCTGGTCACTCTTATGCTGATCATTTCCTTTATTCTCCTGACCTTAATGTGTGATTCAGGGGTGATATTGTAAGGAGAAATTAGATGCTGGTCACTCTTACGCTGATCATTTCCTTTATTCTCCTGNTTTACTAACATTTATTAACATTTTATTTTAACAATTTTTATATAAACCGCGTAGAGTGGTTTATATAGTGTCATATAAGGAACCGCTCGACCAATCAGATTGCTAGAAACTCTTTKCTCAGCTCTGAAATTATACTAAAAGGCAATATAAGTGTAGTGGATTCATACATGGTTTGCAATGCATCAAGGTAAAGAATCCCAAGGTCTGAGGTTGGATTCCTCATGGACACTCTGAACTTTTTCTTTGTCCCATGCTCGCAACTAGATGAAAAACATCTTTCTATATTTCTACAATGCATCAAGTATTTTCTACTTACAGTAGTACCATTCTGTTGGTTGTATTCTGTCTCCATTTTTTGCAATCTCTGATTTGTTTCATCCAGCAATTCTTGAATGTTTTGAGTGTGTTGATTTTGCATCTCAAACTTTTCTTGCTCAAACTCAGCCACCTTGTCATTCAACTGTAAAGAGTCAAATTTGTTTTGGCTTTTGAACATTGTACAAGGATGCAATAATTTTGAATGTCTACTCTGACAAAACACATTACGGATAATTATAAAATACCCGCTTTGAGGATAGAGCTGTGTTTCAAGATCTTAGAGAAAAAAGGGGGTGGGGGGGGGGGCAAACAAAAAGGAATAAACTTTTTTTTTCCTTTCCTTTTTCTGACACCCATATATCTGCTTTGCTTGCTTTGCTCACCCAAATTTCCATTCCAAATCAGTTATCTCTAAAAGGATCATAGGTACCGACATCGAACACTTCTTATTGTGAATCAATTGATTCTAACTTTCATTAATTCTATTGAATATCACAAACACTTACACTTACTATGCCAAGACTACTTATGATATTTACATCACTAACTAACTTACTGTTCTACAACATTCTGATACCATTCCACTGACTGCTGTTATGTCCAGTACATCATACAACATATGATCAATGTCCAGAAAAGTTTGCAAGGAAGTGCAAAGCAATCTCAACACAATTAAACTGGAAGACAAAAACACTCACTGACCTTCTTCTCAAAGTCATGTTGCACTGTTTCACCATTCTGCTCTGCAAGGGTTTTTAACTCTGCTAATTGTGCATCCCTTTGTTCCTTCATTGTCTGAGCTTCTCTAACAAGCTGGGAGACTGAACATAGAACACCATAATCAGCATCATCACTTACCGACATGGTTGTATCTCTCATACACAGACATACATTAGAGTGGGATAAAATAATAATGATAATGCAGGGGTTTTGATAACTTTTTCCATCAGTGGTGACCGAGGGTGTAATATAGGCCACTGTCCCTGGAAAGGGGCAGCAGGACAAAACTCAAACTTGTGAGCCTACTTACAGGCTAAAACATAATGTGCTAGGGTCTGGCTTTAAGCCAGAAATCACAAAAGGAGAATACTCAACTGTGTATTGAGTGCAAATGTCCAACCACTAACTTAAAGATACTCTAAAACTAACAATAAGTAGTACCGGGAAATGTCAGGTCAAAATTGGGTCAAGATCGGAATCCTATATTGTTACACACACTCATCTTGACAACATACACGCATGTGGCTTAATGTCTCCTATAGGAGGCGGCAGCCACTACAACTGGTAGAAAGTGGTATTATAAGTGGTGGTAGACTGGCGAAAACAGCTAATGATAACTGTTATTCCTGTTATATAAATTATCTCATACTGTGAAGCCATATTTTTTCAGTTATGCGACATGACAGGGATGACCTGAATGGGAGTTAAAACTCTACAGTCTGGCAGTCAAATGACAAGGTTACAAGCTGTGGTAGACTGAAGTAACAATTATAATATTGTGTTCACTTTATTGGTTCAATATTTCAAAAACATTTATGTCACACCATTCAAGAGTTATTCATAACATAAAACAGGGAAGTTTCATCAGTCTAGTAATAAACTTTTCAAACCCAACCAATGACCAGCCTCTAATTTCTCCTTACAGTAAAACTGTTGAATCATTCATTAATATCAGGAGAATGGAAAAAATGATCACCAACTTAAGAAGCTTGGACTGTAAAATGACTTCTCCTTGTCAGTACCAAAGAAAATGTTCAATAGAACAATAGAGGGAAAACATGGATGAAAGGCTTAAAGGGTAAAGTGCACCTAAACCCAAAACTTTTTTTTCGCTTAACGAAATAAGCTTATTTTTTGGAGTATTTCTGTGCAAAATTTTTTTAATTTGTTGAAATCTTTAATTTTCTGTGCCCAGTCAAAATACAGAAAATCGGCTGCCATCTTGCCCAACGACCAAGTTTAAAGAGGAATGGCTCTAGCGGGTAATGTGACGTCACATTGTGAACACGAAAGTCTGCACTTCACACATTTTCACTTGTTTGGGAAGGTTGTCGTTGATATTGTCCGAAATATGCCAACTAGTGTGTTTTATGAGGAATGTATGAAGTGCGATACCCTCTTGCAAATTTCGCACGTTGCTACATCCTTCTACAACACACTTAGTCGCATATTTTCGGACAATATCGACTACAACCTTTCCAAACAAGTGAAAATGTGTGAAATGCAGACTTTCATGTTCTCGATTTGACGTCACATTACCCGCTAGAGCCATTCCTCTTTAAACTTGGTCGTGGGGCAAGATGGCGGCCAATTTTCTGTATTTTGACTGGGCACAGAAAATTGAAGATTTGAGCGAATAAAACATTTTTGCGCAGAAATACTCCAAAAAATACGCTCATTTCGTTACATGAAAAAATTTTTTTGGGTTTAGGTGCACTTTAAATAAATGTTTTACTTTAAGAGCACATGTTGCTTCTTTCCTCACCTTTCCTTTCCTGTTTCTTAGCAGTTGCTTCCATTTCAGTAATTTTGTTCCTGTAGTGTGATTTAACTTCCTCCAACTCCATGTTCTTTCTGTCTAGAATCTGAACCATGGAAATATATAACAAAAACACTACATTAAAACAAATTAAACCATAGAATATGTATACAGAGCAACATACAATTTAAAGTTTGGCTGCCACCATCCACTGACAAGCTGTTCTTTTTAAATCATGGTTTTCACAGACATTGCTTTTCAAAAGTTGCCTGACTTTCCTCTCTAATAAAAGTACAATTCCCAAAACAAATTAGCACAAAGTGTAACATTTAGCAGTGGTCTCTAGCCTCCCTTTACAAGTGCCCATCCTTACCAATGAAAATTTCTGAACAAATTGCAATATTTACTCCAATAGTATTTCTATTATAACGACAAAAAGACTTTTGTCGTCTTTGTTAATGAAAAATATTGATGAGATCAAGGTGGTGTTTCACTTTTCCCTAAATTTGATCAAATTTCAATTTTCCTTGACTAACTGGAAAATTTTCTGACTTCTCCCTGACCTTGAAAAATTTCCTCTTTCCTTGACTACTTTCCAACTTGTGAAAATCACCAATTTACTTGAGAATACCTTTTGAACTGCAACATCATGTTGTTGCTGAAGTTTAAGCTTATCTTCATGATATTTGGCCTCAACCATCTTTGTTCTTAGCTCAATCTGCCAAAAAAAATTTTTTTTGAAACTAAGTACACTCAATCAATCAATCAATCTGCAATCTCTCTACAAAATACTAATTTCAGTTCAACAGTACTGTAATAATTGATCCTCTTCTTTGAAATCATATAAATTATATATTGACATCTCTTTCTTGGTTGCTCCTTAGCATTTTCTGCTATACATGTCATGTTTCCCCAAAAAAGCCCTTAGTTGATACCTGTATATTTATTAATTCAAGAGACAATGCAAGTTACAATAATTATTATGATGGCTAATGAGAGTGAAAGGCAATTTCAAAAAACAATAGTTACCTCCCTGTCACTTGAACGATTGAAGCTATGGTCATCTCGCAAAGTTCCATTTAAAGATGATATTCCTTTATAAAAAAGATAGTGGAAAAATCAACTATTGCAAGAGACTTTCATCAGTTTTCTGAGCACAGTAGGCAGTAAGCTCTGCAGTACAGAAGACTACACAACAATCTTTCTGGGTCTTTTAATGGCTGCAATCGTTATGTTGTTTGTGTTCTTGGACCGGATACTCACAGCACAGATATCCAGTCAATAAACAGAAATGGGTAGCACTTGGTTGATGTCTGTTAAGGAAGGATCACAAAAATACTTAGGGTAACCCGGGATATATATGAATGACAGAGAGTGGGGAATTCCCAGGACCATAAGAGCAAAATCATTTGTCTTCTCGATCGGGTGATCAGAGACAATCACCAATTTTATTTGTCATCATGCAGTGTAGTTTAAAGAATTACACAGTGCTTGATGCACACAATAAAATCATCAAGTTTACATCTTTTTTGTATCTTGGATGTTATAAATGTTGGTAAAATTTATAAAGATGTGGAAGAGGAAGGAGAGAGGGCTTCAAACCCTAACAAAGGAAACAAACCTACCTTTTGTAAACCCATTGTACTGATTTGTTTTTGATGGCTAAAAAATAAAGAAAGGAGAAAAATAACAAATATCATTTTCCACAGTTACCTAAGACCAGGGTTACCATCTAATTGATTTCCAAAAGGGTGTTAACATGAGCATATGATTGGCCTAACTACCGAAAAACTATTTCAAGGGACAATTGCCATCATTCACTTTGTACATGTACAGTTAAATAACACAGTTATTTGATTGCAGTGAAATACCATCATTTATTATATACATACCGAGATTTATGTGCCAAAAAAATCGAGATAAAAATAGTCTCTTTGCGCTAGAGGAGCCAGCTGATTGGTGATACGATTTTTTTTCACTAGTGAAAAACGACGTATCGACGCTCTGATTGGCTATATCATTATTTTCAAAAGTGAACTAAACCGTGTCGTTCGCTAGCTCGCCACTCCTCTTGACTGACAAATAGCACATTTCTAAGAGCTTAGGCACATTTTTCTTTAGAAAGATGGCTTCAAATCAGACTAGCCATTTTCAGAGCCTAGATTCATCAGTAGAAGAGTTCATAGACGGACAGGAAAATGAAAACTCCAAGAAAAAGACAAAACACAATGTTGCTCTGTTCCATGAATTTCTTGGTTTGAAAGGCGAAACAAAAACAAAAAAATTAAGTCTCGGGTTTTCACTTCTTTATTTCAAATTTTGAACGTCCATAGAACTATTTTGACATACTTTCAGGATGTCTTAATTTATTCCACTTAGTTCTGCCTTTTAACGGCATTTTTGCTTGATAATTTAGATGTAAAAAAGTATTTTACAAGGAAGCCATTTCAGTACAACTCCCGAATGGTGGCTTGACCACACATTCTTTTCCTTTGAAAGAAAATAAAGATATGTTTATCTCTGAGTTCTGTTTGCTTATGAATCTCAGTACGTATATAATAAATAAGTTATTTCACGGTTAGTTCGCTTGTACAATTTTTATTCACTCGTTGTGTAAAACAAACTCACTCGCTGCACTCGTTCATTTGTTTGTTTTACACAACTTGTGAATAAAAATCGTACGTGCTCACCAACCGTGAAATAACCTATAATTATTATATAATACCAATGAAATACCAGGATTTTTTCTTTTATTAAAAAATCATATCTTCATTGTGCACAGTGAAGATACTATTTTTATCTTTCATGTGTGAAGATATTGGTGTCATCATGGTTACTAACATGATTAGCCAATTACATAGAGAGCTTCCTGCTCAGGAGCAAGGAGTTTTATGTGGAAATTTCATCAGTATCTATAAAATAAACAGAACATTACATAGCTGCTTCGGGATACAAATTTTATCTTCCACTGCTGAAAGTACATCTCTCACTTGTTCACTTTGCTTGTACTCATGAGAGATACTTACAGCACTCGAAGAAAAAATTTGTATCCCTGCACGGCCATGTAATATCCTCTACATCAGGTTGAGAGTATCATAATATGGTCAAAACTTTATTGTTAAACTGAAAATCCCCATTATATTACAGGGGCCAGTTGTTCAAAGGGGTAGATAATGGTATGCCTCGGATAAATCGCTGTCCAGGGGATTAGTATTAACCAAAAGTACTGTACTGCCTACTGAAGAGAGATTTATCCAGTGGATAACATTACCCACCCTTCAAACAACCATTAGGCCAGGTCTATATCATAAAAAATTTGACTCACTGGTGATGTAGAAGGATAACCTGAGTCAGTATGCTGATATTCTGATGGACTCTCATAACGCCGACGAGGTGGTGGGGAAATACGACCCCCATATCTTGACTCTAGAATGTCATCAGAGCCTGGGTAGCCTGCAGACAACCTTCCCTTGTAGCGTTTTTCATCAAGAGGTTGATCAAATCCAGGAGCCACTTCATAACCATTTTTCTCCTCTCTACTGGAAGTGCTATAAGTTGTAGATCTTGGCCCAGTGACTGGATTTACACCACTGGTAGTTGGCAACTCTCTGAAAGCAAACGTTAGGTTTTTTGATAACTTTGTCAAATTCTTTTCACTTAAATATGTATTTAGATGAGACTGTATATAAACAGGGAAAAAGTTTCATTTTCCTTAATATGAGAAATATTATGTTAAGTCTCAGGTGAGCCAACCAAAACCTGTTTAATTAAAAAGATCTCAGAGGAAATTTGCTAAAGCAAAGGCATAGAAAAAACCAGGAAAGATTTATTACTCGACGTTTCGGGGTCATCGTGACTCCATTATCAAGAGACTAGTTTAAAAACATGCAAATAAGGAAAGGTACAAGAATAGCATAAATTAGACTTAACGGCTTAAACAAACACCTTGGCGCGGATGGAATCCGTTTGCACGTTCAGTGTTGGCTTACGCATGCGAATATACAACATTTCATTAACAAGGCAATCAAATTTGCCGTTACATTTCGTGATGACGTTGAATTGCTCGATCAAGCGTTCAGGCATTTCACTATTGTGCTGGAGGTGGTAGTGTTTGTAGATAGAAGATGATTTCCTTGTGTGCCCTTCTACGCGCTCGTGTAAGTGACCACGAGTATAGCCCACATACCCTGCATCACACAGGTTACATTTAAATTCATAAACGACACATTGTTGGTTAACAATAGGGGGCTTAATTTCGTGTTGCTTAAGTTGTTGATCGAGCTTAGGGCTAACGAACACTGGTTGGACAGTCACGCTTAACTTCGAGCTTAGACTGTTCAGTTGTTGTTTAACATGATTAGCTGACGACTGGTCCTTGAAGGGTAACACTAATCTCACAGTCTCCGATGGTACGTCTGGTGATGGACAGGGTTCTGCAGATGAAATCCTTCTCTCAACGAACCGCTTGATTGTAGTTTCAACCAGTGGCTTTGGGTATTTCAAGTTATGAAAAACCCCTCTAAGGCGGTCACATTCCTCGAAGAAGAAAGACCAGTTAGAAGATAATCGATAAGCGCGATCCACCATGGTGTTAACTAGGCTGCGCTTGTACTTAATGTCAACATGACTCTGGAAATGCAGAAGGAGACCCGTGTTGGTTCTTTTGATGTAGACCTTACTCTCAATCTTTGGTGCACGGTTAAGCAGTTCAGTTCCTAGAAAGGGAAGGGATCCTTCCCGTTCGACTTCCATGGTAAACTGGAGGGAGGGATGGGTAGAGTTAAGGGTGTCTAGAAACTGGCCGGCGGTCACCCTATCAGGCATTACGGTCAAGGTGTCATCGACGTACCTCCGGTAATAGCGCGGAAGTTGACCGTGTCGTTCGAGGTTTTCCTCAATCGAGCACATGAAGACGTTAGCCAGCAACGGTCCAAGGGGAGAACCCATAGCGACTCCATCTGTCTGCTCATATAAAGCACCGTCAAACTGGAAAAGCTGGTTTTTCGTAGCTGCTCGGAGGAGGTCGATTAGGTCCGCTTTAGAGATGTTCAAGCTGTGCGTCTCGTTGAACCAATCCTGGGCAAAGGCTTTTTCAGAAATGTTGTATATTCGCATGCGTAAGCCAACACTGAACGTGCAAACGGATTCCATCCGCGCCAAGGTGTTTGTTTAAGCCGTTAAGTCTAATTTATGCTATTCTTGTACCTTTCCTTATTTGCATGTTTTTAAACTAGTCTCTTGATAATGGAGTCACGATGACCCCGAAACGTCGAGTAATAAATCTTTCCTGGTTTTTTCTCAGAGGAAATGTAAGCAAAATTTTAAATTCAATTTTCTGAGGAAAGTTTACACACCTTGAGGTAGAGGTGATGCTTCCTGAGATATCTGAAAGAGCACTTCCTGAAAAATATACAATATAAATTACATGTTATCTATATACTGATCATATTATATGCTTTTAAGTTGTGAAAGCAGTTTATAAAGAAAATAAATTTTGGTTTATTAATTTTACTTCAGATACCTGATGAACTGGGGATTTCTTTAAGCCAATCTGGTGGTTTATGACCAAATTCCTTCAAAATTATAAACAAAAGAACATAACAGCTTTAAAAACCACTTTAAAAGTACTTGTAAAAATGTGATTCTTTAAAATGAACATACCAAAATAGAAATTGCAAATCGTTCTTTCGTCATTTTATCAGGAGTCTCAACATAAAATTTTTTTCAACAACAATTTTCAATTACAATATCTAGAAACCTCAATTCTGTTCTTTTTTGCTTAATACATTACAATGAATTTTTTTTTAGTTGAAAAAAATATCTGCCCACAATTGATCAATTCCAATTTTACATTGTCTTCTACTTCTACTTCTACTCATTCAGAACTAAGGTTAAGTAGACAAGGAAGTCAGAGAACCACTAAAGAAGAAAATTTTCAGCCTGAAACTCAAATTTAACCACAACAGATACATCATGTATATTAAATCTTTCCTGGTGAACTGTTGCATACTTCAGTGCAGATTTTACAATATTACACCTAAGTTCTACCAAATATATTAAATACCTCTTCAAGTTCTGCACTGGCAGTTCTCTTGTGTATAGGTTCATCAAGATATATAGACTGCAAAAAGGTTCAGAAGTTCATATGTCAGGCTGTGATTGATCTATCTATTAGAGTCATTTTCAAGTTGTGTCAATGTAATCAGAGATTGCATTGGTTTTTGCTTTGCTTCCCTCAGTCTATGATTGCTCCACAAAACTTGTGCCACTCAGATAAAAAAAAAATAAAACTAAATACGACTTAGTCACCCATGTACAATACCCATGTGTTTTTCTGCACTTTAGGCAGTTTGCTTGCTTTTAGTTTGAGTTTTCATTGGTTCCCACCTGTTTTTTCCCTTTCCTCTGATTCTGGTCACTAGGATATATTGGTTTCAGTTTTGATTCACTCAATCAAAAAATGCTTTATTTACAATTACTGATCAGTATTACATTAAAGTTTTGAAGCTGTCTAATTGAGACTTTGTGGGTTGATAAGCACATACATTTGTACTTACATACTGTACATGTATATATCAAACATAGCCTATTCAACAAAAAAAGAAAAAAACACAAAAAAAGTATTTTTATAGGATTACACAATTACTGGTGAACCAGTAGTTTCCATTGTGGTCCTTGCAAACATCATTAAGAACCCCAACCAGCTGGAGGCAAACCAGTTGGCTATTTACAAGCGTGGCCAAGGATCTGAACACAGGTCTACCATGAAACAAATCCAGTGGTCAGGGTGGAACTCGAACCCAGGAGCAGCGAATTACGAGTCCGACACTCTAACCACTCGGCCACACTGCCTCCGTGTGCCTCAAATACCTAATGACTGTGAGTCAAAATGAAACAAATATGTACTGATAATATAAAAAATAAGTGAATAATAAAAAAACTTGAACACTTAAGTACCATATATGATGGCAAGGTTTTAAGTGGTCCTGCCTCAGGTCTTCTGGTAAATGGCTCCTCTAACAGGTTGCGTTTAACCATGTGTAGCAAAAGCTGAGCATAGAGATTGCGGTTTTTCCTGTAAAGAAATTATCAACACACAAAATATTTCCCATAAGTATTTGGAAATTTTGGGGTTGGTTTTAGCATTTACTATTTTTCCACAAAAAATAATTAGTGGAACAAAAGATCAAAATGTGAAAAAATTAAGGAGTTTCATCTGTCCTTATCTGTTATGTTTAATCAATGTGACTGACTGTTATTTGCTGTTAACTGTCACCTTCCACTTGTTCCTGGGCCAGGTGGCTCACACAGCTTTTTAATCCACAATGCCACTCTTTGCCTCTCTGTAAATAATCAGAAGCAAGTTTTGTAATTTCATGTCAAAAGGTTCTTAAATGGAATACCAGTGTTTCATTTTTTGTTCTTTCCTGAAAAATGAAAAATTAAAGCTTACATGTACATGCAATTTTCATTTTTCTCTGAAATTGATGACAAAATAATGTTTATTTTCAATCTTCATTTCTCAATGAGAGCCAAAAAAAAAATATAAGATTAACTCAGAGAATTTAAATTACAGTAAAAAAAGTATGTAACACAACAGATTCACTTTCTGCATTATTTGGTAGGAGAGGGAATAGCAAAGACAATCTTTCTGGCATTTTAAGTTTACAGAATATTTGCAATAATTTAACAACAACTTTCTTGTGAAGCTGGTAGGGGTTTCTTTGAATTCAGCCTTGATTTTGTACATTTTGCAGATATTGCACGATTGGCATGGAAACAAGGGAAGACAAAATTTTTATTTGTAACTTTTAGTGGGCATGTAATGTTTTTCTGTTAAATAAAAGTAAAAGCAAAACCACTATATTGATTAAAACCTGGTAATCATGTTGATATTGTTATCTTCCCATGTGAAGATGAAAATGGTACATTGCCTATACCTCACAAAGAAATTGTGTTTTTGAAACAGGCAAAACTATAGTACTTCTTCAACATCTAGATTATAAATATTAATCCTTCAACTTTGATAATTTTTAAGCATAATAAAAAGGATAATCATTTAATTATAGCAACATTATCTTGATTCCAGGCATATTTAAAAGAATGCTTAGATTTTATTTGTTTCTAAACCAAAACAAGGTATGTCACTTCTTTCATTAAGAATATGAATGCTCTGTCCATGGTGAGCATAACTTTTGGCATAAAGCATAGCTTTTGGCATAAAGGAACCTTATAAATTTCTGCCTTTCTTGTGAAAATCAAATTTTTAGTACTTCTTCATTGGGAATTTTATTTCTGCTAGTAGTCAATCTATTTACAGTTTTGTCTAAATAAAGTAAAGGACAAAATTGACACCTGACCAGTAGGGATTTAATACACAAAAGGAAGCAAGAAATTTGTCACACCAATAATTAACTTTCTTGATAAGCAAAATCTGAGAGTACCATCCTCACAATTAAAGTACATGTGCATAAAGAAAAAAACAAATTATCTTAAACAGTCAGATAAGTAGTAAGAAAAGACTAGCATTTAGAATGAATTATTTTAACTAATATGAATTGATTTAGTGATTCTCACCAATAAGATCACATGCACTTGGTGGCAGAAATCAATTCTGAATAATCCGAAAGCGAAGGAAATATTTTCATCAAGTTTAAAGTGGTTCATTCGTATCTCAAAGCGACTGAAAGAGTTCTACTGGGATTACTTGTGTCTATTGGTATGATAAAAAATGTCTCGTAAAGGAGGAAGAAATATATTTGCGATGACTTTGCAATGCAGAATCAAAGTAAGACTTTTTGGTCAGAAAAGCTATCTACTGAGATAAAAATTAGCGAACAAAGAAGTGTATGGTAACAGAATGTTCACGGTCAACCAAAAGGACTGTTTGTGCGATCTAGTACCTGATGTTGTTGTGTTGTTATGGAGTTAATCCCCGTGCATACATGCATCTATGAAAAGATTACCAAGCCCTGAGTGCATGCAACAACTATCACAATACTTGATATGTTTTGTTTTCAAGTTCACGACAAAAATTATACAACTGCGTTAAATCTGCAAATTAAAGGTTAAAATTCGGCAAGATCTGAAAGCTGTACCTGATTTGTGAGGCAGCCGAAGGACGTACGGTTTCATTTCATCAAGATATCGGTCAAACATTGAGTCTTGTCTTTCACTAAGCGATCCTGAATCGAATCCACTCAGCTCCCCGTAACGATGAGATGCCATCTTATCAGTTGACTTCAAATGACTAAAGGCGAGAGCCAGTTTTTACTAATTAAAAGATTAGAAACGTCAAGTTGAGAAAATAAGTCCGTTGTTCGCAGCAAGTTCCTTGGGTATAAATATCTAGCTGTTTTTTTCACGCTGGGATCCGATATCTCTTGTTTCGTTTGTATCCTGTTTTCATTTGGGCAGATTAAGTCACCCAAATAATGGTCCCGTTAACAATAACATCTGTTTTTACGTTCATAAATTATAAATGAAGTTTGTAAAAAGCGCCAACGGTTGAAACAAACAGAAATCGAAAGTGAGGGGATTGAGAGAAAGTAGCCTGGGAATGAGTAACATTTTTAATTGCTTTGGAATTATTTTCTCTCATTGTTTGAAAGATTATTTCAACCAAGAGGGGTGTTATGATAGGATTATTTGGTAAAAAAAAAAAAAGAAAAAAATGATAGAACAAGAAATTTCCTGAATATTTTGAAATTTTTCTGGACAGGTCGTGAAGTCACGTTCCACGTTCTTTGTGTTCAGTTATTTTCCTCAAGGGAGCATGCGTTCATAGTCAAGATGGCGGCAAAACTTCAAAACTCACCAAACTCCTCCTAAGTCTAATTTTCACCATGGCACAAATTCGGGAAACAATTGAAGCACTTTGCACCGTCTTAAGCAGTCAATCCACTACACAGGTGTCTGCAGAGAGTTTTCGCTTGGCCAAGTTTGATAAGGATGAAGCAACAGAGTCGCTATGGCTTACAATTCGAAAAGTCCTTTCTGTGGACGATTTGGAACCCGAAGCTATCAGTGGTAATAACATGGTGGCTTTCTGTAAGCATGAGTTGTTTCACAAAGGATATGGAGGGAAAAGCCTTTACCAGCTCCCAGAAGATATGTCACGTGGCAGCAGAGAATTGATATTAGCTTTAGGTTGGTTAATTGCGAAGGAAGATGTCACGTCTGCCTTAATAGCAAAGCTTGAGCCTGTGGTTTTTGAGGATCCTCCATTGAACTTAACGTTGTATGAAAAGATTCCCTTGGCTAAAGGACTTGATGCTTGTTCAGAACCAATAAAGCAAAACGATTTTGACAGCACCATTGATCTTGCTGAAAGGTTAATTTTGAAGTACAACAAATTACACACTTCATTGAAAAGCCTTTTGGGTGCCAGAAATGAACACACAAGAGTGATCTGCAAGTTACATTCAATACCAAAAAGTTCCAAGTCTCAAAGTTCCAGCCATTTCTCATCACAAGATATCTACTTTTTGCGCTACCCAAATGAACTTGCAAAATATCAAGAGAGGCTTGAGTGGTTTTGTGACTATACAAAGGCTCTTGTTTGCTGGTCCTTAAACGAGCTTACGTTCTGGAAATGGATGGAGACTGTATTAGATGCAAAAATATTGGAAGATGCAGCAAAAGATACTGATGAACAGTGTGATGATATTCAACAAAAACAGGGAATTACACCAAGCAGTGATTTGCAAATTGCCAAAGGGCGTCAAGTTAGACTTTCCCAAATCTTGAATGCTCAAGAACCAACCTACAGGAAAGTTTCTAAAACATGGAAGAAGATCAAAGCAAGTCTCCAATCTTGTGAGGAGGGACGAGCTAATTTAGCAGATGCCTTATCTCTGCTTGATAGTAAACTTTTGTCAGAAATTAGAGAACTTCAGAAATATACACTGAAGTGTCAAGAGAAACCTAAAGCTAAAGATTCTGTTTGTTTGAGAAAATTAACTCAAGGAGAATCCAATAAGGTGATGAGGACAACCAAAGACACTGCAAACAAGTCTATGGCATCAGAACAAATATCAAGGTTGCGACAAGAAAAAGAGGCCCTTCAAAATGAACTCAGAAGCTTAGAGGAGGTACACAGGGAAAAATTGTTGCAAATTTGCCAGGTTCGGCAAGATCTTGTCTGTATTTCCCCAGGTATGGCAAGTATTACACTATAACTTGAATCATACAGATTTATTATTTTACCACAACTGGCAGTAATGTCAATTTGCTGTTGTTGATAAGAGCCCAGACAATGCTGCGAGGGTCAATGTGTCACACAATGTGTCACGCATTGAAAGAATCGTGAAGGTGTAGTCTGATCGTCCGGGTGAGTGTAGTCCTGAGAAGGACTGTTGTCGGTGGCAGTGACTGACGTTTCGACAACCTGTGCGGAAGTCATCATCAGAGTCAAGTGAATGATTGTTGTCAGTAGACTGACAACAATCATTCACTTGTTGTCTACTGACAACAATCATCACTTGACTCTGATGATGACTTCTGCACAGGTTGTCGAAACGTCAGTCACTGCCACCGACAACAGTCCTCAGGACTACACTCACCCGGACGATCAGACTACACCTTCACATGTTACCCCCGGGTTCAAACCATTTACTGCATTGAAAGAATCGTTCTATTTGACGGTCATATTGTTGTAAAAAGCAATTGACAGTAGTTTAATGTGGTCTCAGTACACTTATCAACAACATTATTTGTCATCATTAAGGTAAAAATGCTGTGGACTCACAAGGTGCAGCTGAGTGAGTCTGCATAGGGTGGGGGTGGTAAAATCCAACACTGAAATACTTATTACCAATTAACAGTTTAAAAACTCTTAATTGATAATCTTAGACTATGAATTTAAAGATGCCAACGAGAATCAAGGCACATACAAAGGATGTGGTTATTTATAACAAAGGCTATTTAGAATACTATTACATAAGTAGGGTTCATTAAGTACTGTGAGGATCACTTTCATACATTTCATGAAACTGCACTCCACATATACATGATTTTCTTATATTCAGATTCGTTGTTATCGCTTATACAGGTTTAATACAAACCAACGTAATGACCATCTCCCAGCTAGCTTGTTAGCTCAATTGGTAGAGCACTGCACCGGTATTGCAGAGGTCATGGGTTCAAATCCTGTACAGGCCTGAATGTTTTTTCAGGCCTTATTTCCACTACTACATAAGTAGGATTCATTACTGCAAAGATCACTTTCATACATTTCATGAAACTGCAGTACACATATATGAATTTCATATGTCCAAATTTGTAATTGAGAAAATGTATGTTTTCACCGCTGTTCCTTCCACTTACAGCTGGAAACAATTGCATCTGGTTCTCATCTAACCCTGCCATATTTGCCATGTCGCATTTTTATCTCATCTCCTTTTATTCTTCCTTGCTCTTTATCCCATACTCTTGTCCATACACGTCCTTTGGTGCTGACAAGGAGAATTTGTTTAACCCTCAAAGCTTTTTAGGCTGGTGATCAATTCCTAATAGTGAATATGTTTAGCAAAAAACATAGAGAGACTCAAAAAATCAGCATTTGACCAGCAATAGAGGCTAGTGTAATGAAATGTGATCCACTGATAAAAGTTATCCCACATATTTTTTCTTTTTTTTCACTGGAGTGTCTCATGACAAAATGATAAAGAACTTGCTCGTCAAGAAATCAAGAGAACTTTTCTTTTTAAGAATAAATATTTTCATTTAGCTTTCGTCGACATTTGCATGTTTTTCTTTTACAAGTTCTGTATTCTGTCAACACCTACACATTTTATGAACATTCTCAAAGGAGCTATTTGAGCAATACCAGACCAAAAAACTAGGATACAGACAAAAAATTTGAAATAGTTTCTGTGCCCTATGAATTTTTAACATTTACAAACTGGTGTAACCTTCCTATTGTTGTTCCCCAGAAGAATTAGGGGAAAAAGGTAGTGTATTCACATGACCTTAATGAATGACTGCTGTAAGAAGAACGTAGATGCTGCCAGTCACTCCTAGAGTTTAAAGGATTAAATTCGAATTTTTGACAAAACATAGAAAACTTAAAAATAGTTGTGGATTAATTTCTGTCCAAACACCTCTCTATACTGCTGTTCAACAGAGCTTGATCCCATCACATTTGAAATGTGAACACCCAATCTTAATTTTTCCAAGAGCCCTTGTCATTGACATTGCTTTAATGAATAAAACCTTTGTTCCAAGAGATGATAGAGCCTTAGGACTTAGGGAGAGTTTTGGTTTGCATTTAGAATTCCTAATCTAGAAATCTGTTGTTCTTTGTGAAAATTATGATAGGGAAACAATGAGAAATACTGAAAATTAGGTAAAGAAAACAAATGTGGGTTTAGTAAACAAATTTTGTTCCGAAAAGGCTGCAGAATTCAGACAGCCCAGTGGTCAAAACCCTGATTTTGCTTTTCTCATTTATGACTAGCTTTCAAATAGGATTTTGATAGGAATAAGGACGAATGAATGAATGAATGAAAGAAAGAAAGAAGAACTTTATTTAAGTGTCTATGTTTTTAGCTATAAGCCAATGGGGGACACTAAAAAATTTAAAAGTCAAATACATTTACATATGTAGATAATAGTTATTTACAGTAGATAATTAAAAAGATTATAAAGTTATTTAGTTAAATTTTAAATTTCAACAAGAGTTGAAAGGTCGACGTTTCTTATGTTCTTCTTGAACGAACTTAGAGTTTCAATCGTTCTTAGGTGTCTTGGTAACTTCGACCAAATGAGAGGTCCCATATATTTAATAGAATTCGTACCAAATCTTACAGTTTCGAATCTTGGCAGTTCGAAGTCACTATTCTGTAAGTTATACTGAGTGTTCTTTATATTAAATAAGTCAGAAATATTCTCGGGTACGAGACTGTGCTTAACTTTAAACATCAAAGTGGCAATGTCTTGTAGGTGCCGATTGTTCAACGTCGGTAGTTTGGCGCGACTTAGCAGTTCTTGATAGGACGCTGATCCAGTTTTGTACACCGCCCTAAGTGCTCGCTCCTGAATCCCCTCAAGCTTTCTCTTAGAGAAATGCTGGATGTAACAGAGAAACACTTGGGGAATTAATAAGCCTAGCATGCTGAAGTAAACCATGTTTTATACCGCTTGACGCATGTTAAGTTGGCAAAGCAGATCTACCGTACGTTTTTTATACATAGCAACAAGTCTACCTAAACAATGATTTTCCTGAGTAAATTAGATTTGGTGTCCAAGTACTTAATATTGTTTGTGTAAACTGGAAAATGCAATCTGTTGCTCGGTAGTTATGGTTTGCCCTTTGCATTAAATCATGTTCTTTAAAAGCCAACTGTCCTCTCATAGTATGGATTAGGAAAAAAATTTTTTCTCCTCTATGCAAGGACTCTTTACCGAAATATCATCACTTCCAACTAAAATCAAAACAATCGACATAGTTCACTTGGCTTTGCGTAATTCTTATCTACGTTGACCCCCTGATCTTGTGTCGTTTTAAGCTTTTTTCGAGCGTGTTAGTAAATAGT